TCATTGCTTAATAAATGCAACTTCTGAGCTGATGCTACTGCTGACATGGACTTTAATGACTGCCCAAAGCCTAAGTGCACTAAATTATACTATTTTTGTTAAACATAAAACAGGCTGTATGTTTAAAACAGTGCAATGTAGCGTATGTTCACAGGTGTCTCAGAGGTCTGCTTCGAACTCTGGAGGTGCCTAGTTCGATTCCACTGAAAGAGAGTCTTTTCCTTGTTCACAGAATCCCCTGAGCAAGGAATTTACCACACATTGCTTCTGACCAGGGTTGCGAAGCCAGTAGAGTGCCGAAATCAGAAGTGATCGATCCTGAGATCAAGCCTCGCATGTTCCTTCCGAGGTTGATAATAAAATACCAATGTCTGGAAAATAAACAAGAGACTACATGCTGCGCTTGGCTGTAGATTGGCTGTAGATTCTGCCTTTAAAACGGTGCACTCCTGGCTGATCGTGTAGAAATGGAGATCACCACCGCACCATCAACTTAATGAAAAGAAGAGCGTCAAAATGGCCCAATCATGAAAGTGACGGAAAACTGATGTTACAGCGTTGACCAACTTTCCATTTTCCTTAACGTATGTAACAGTTTCAACGCGTATGTTTTTCTGAGAGAAAAATGGAAGAGCAGTGTAGCTTCCGGCCCCGTCGAATCACCTCTGAGTATACATTTGCCCTGCACCAGATTGTTGAGAAATCGTCGGAGTTCTCCCGTCCGGTGTATATATGTTTTGTGAACCTAGAAAAAGGCCTACGCCACAGTCTGTGGACATGCCTTCGTGCAAACCGGCTAGATGGCCAGTTGCTGAGGGCCATCCAGTCATTGTATTCTGATAGCAGGTGCTGCGTCAGAGTTAATGGTGTTAAGTCGAAACCGTTCAGCGTTCGCACTGGTCTCCTCCAAGGCTGCATTCTGTCCCCTTTACTCTTTGTGTTGTACATGGATAGAATAGTCAGGAGCTGCCAAGGCGATGAGGGTATCGGTACAGGAGATGTTA